TTCACTGGCCCAAGCTGGCACCATCATTGCGCTCTTCCCGGGCGAGGCAGATCAGTCGCCGGCTTCTGGACTGCCGCTCACACTGGCTGCTGGCTACACATGGTAGCTTATGGCAGCCCACTGCAGCAGAGGACTGCAGCCTACGCCATCGCTGGCGACCCACAGCAGCCCAGCTCCAGGTCGAGCTGTTGTTTAGTATCTTAGCTGTAGAGGGCAGTGTCACTGGCCCTCTTATGTGGGATCCGAGCCGGGGCCCTCTGGCATCCCAAGCCAGTTCTTAACCAATTTGCCACTCGGCCGGCCCTAGTTATATATTTTTAATATCAGCTTTGCTTGTGGGCATGGAGATACTCAAGTCCACAGATGCACAGAAACACCAGCAGCATACGTGCAGATACAATTACATCTTTACACATGGGTGCACATGTAGTTCCTTTCTTTAAAAGGAGAAGATAGAGCCGGCCGAGTGGCACGTCGTTTAAGAGTTGGCTTGAGAGCACCAGCTCTGAGCAGCAGGGCCCCGGTTCGGATCTCACATGAGGGCCAGTGACGCTGCACTCTCTACAGCTAAGATGGTGAACAACAGCTCGACCTGGAGCTGGGCTGCTGTGAGTCACTGGCGACGGCGTAGCCTGCAGTGGGATTTGGCCGGCAGTAGGCGTGAGCTTTTGTGAGCTGCTGTGAGCCGCCGTGAGCGGCCATCCAATGGCTGGCGAGGAACTGCCTCACCAGGGAAAAGCACAGTGATAATACCAACATGGGCCAGTGAAGCAACGTCCTCCACAACTAAAGAACAGAAGGACAGCAACTTGTCTGTTCCCCTTCCTGGATTACCCAACACTGTTCCACTCCCCGAATCCCCAATAAAATATTTAAAAAACCCAAAAACGCTAGGGTAAGTGTTGGCAAAAGATTTTTATAAAGAGTCCAGCATTAAATATTTTAGGCCTTGTGGGCAATATGGTCTCTTTGCAATGACTCAGCTCTGCTGTCATAGCAGAAAAGTAGTCATAGACAATAATAAGCAGGTGAGCACAGTTACTTTCCAATAAAACTTTAATCACAAAGTCACTGGGTCAGATTTGGCCCATGGGCCTTAGTTTGCAGGCCCCCGCACTAGAGTCTAAAGAACCCAGAAGCCATTAAGACTGACTTCACTGGCCTTCCAAAGGTTAATAGGGCTCCTAGTCTGTCTCCTCCTAAAAGGACAAAAATCAACTGTTTGGTAGGTGGCACCAGTTTTGTTCGAATTATTTTGTGCTGTGCTTTAGTGTTTTTTTTTTTTTTTTTTTATTTTTTTTTTTATTACAATTCCATTGAATCCGTTCCCGCACTCTACTCCGTGTCCCGAGGTTATATGTATGTATAATTATAGTTGACATACAGTGTTATTCATGTGCTTTAGTGTTTTGATGTTCTTCCGGATGAGTGATCTCAATCCCTCCTTTTTGTCCTTATTGCCCTCTTTCTGTGTGCATATCTCTAAATGCTTCTCATTCTTCTTCGTTCTATCCCCTTGTACTCACAGGGTTGTGTGATTTCAGGATGAGACTCTTTCTCATCTGTCCTTGCTAAATCCTGGCTTCTTTTCAGCCTCTTCATCTGTACTAGTAGAGGCATGTCTTAATCACTGGCAGGACATACCACCAGCTTGCTGTGTGACTTTGAGCAAATCACCTACCCTCTCTGAGACTCCTTTTCCTCATCTGTTAAATAAGGGAGTTGGCTAACTGATCTCTAAAATCCTTTCCAGCTTAAGCTTGTGATTTTAGGAAGCTGCAGCCTCAACGCTAGGCAACTGTCGGGGGCCATTCATTAGGATGGCACTCACAGACCTTAATGAAACTGCCAGGTCACAGAAATTAGCCACATGATCTCCTGTAGTTGGCAACCCCCCTAAGGCCTTCACAGTTAAGGGGGTGGGGGCACCAGCTAATTTCAGGGAATCTGAGATCCCATCTGATTAAGGGGAGAAAAGGAAGACAGATGACTCCAGGACCCCCTGTGCCCCAGGAAAATCAATTTGCATTCTTAAACTGCCTTTGAAGGAGCTGCAAAATGCACACAAATATTGACTTAGTTGGAAATAGGACCCTAAGGAGCTACTGTTGGGAGGTGGGATACTTTCCCTTCTCCGGCAGACCCTTCTGTGTGGGGCTCTCCGGGCCATGTAAAGGACACCCCTCAAAGCCCACCAAATAAATATCTGAATAAGTCAGGAGGAAATGGAGCCTTTGAGGGGTTAAGAAAAATGAATTAGCGGAGATTCCAGCATATGCCAAAGGAAAGAGTCTTCTCTACATGCAGGGATGAGAGGTCGGGGAGGGTCAGGAAGCCTGGACTTTGGCTGAGGCAGAGGCTGGTGGTGGTTGGCAGCTTGGGGAAGGTGGGGGGTAAGGGAGGTTTTACAGCATCCTCCCCACTTCTCAGGTTCATCCCCCAGCTCATAGCCCAGCAGCTTGTGGACTCAGCAGATGGGCAGGTGTCTGGAGCCCTCTCCCTCCCTCCCGACACAGTCTCAAGGGGTGGGGAGGGAGTGGACAAGCCCACATCCTGGCCTCCAGGAGAGCAGGCTCTTATTGTCTGCCTGCTAAAGCTGTCTCATTTGTAGCCTAAATAATTCACTCACCAATCTCTCAAGGAGCATTAGAAGAAAAACAAAACCTGGCCCAGACCTCCTGCTCAGGTTCCCACTGCATGGAAGGCAGGCCAGGAGGCTGGGAAGCAGTCCTAAGCTGCAGAGATGAAAGACGGGCAGCCTCAAAGGTTCATCGGGGTTGGCAACCTTCCAAAAACAGCTTGGGGCCTGGTCTTGCACAGCCCTCAAGCAGCAGTTCTCAACCTGTGGGTCGCGACCCCTTTGGGGGTCGAACAACCCTTTCACAGAGGTCACCGGGTACTCCTATGTGGGCGTATCTGTATGTGGGCCTGGAGACGGATAGAGGAGCAGTGTCTCGGTTCCTAAGACCATCGAAAATATGTTTTCCGATGGTCTTAGGTGACCCCTGTGAAAGGTTGAGAACCGCTGCCTCAAGCTAAGAATAGGTTTTACATTTTTAAAAGTTAAAAAAAAAAAATACCACCAAAGAAAAAGACACCAAAGAGACTGTGTGTGGCCTGCAAAGCCTAAAATATTTACTATCTGGCCCTTTCCAAAACGTTTGCCAACCCCTTAATCCACCCCCCAGCCTTGAAGGGGGTGATGCCCACCTTTGATCTGCTCCTCGTCCACCCCACCTCGTGACCCTTTATGTGCAGGGATTCAAAGTTGTCAGAATTCGGATACTTACTTGCAGTCTAGTGAGAAGCTGGCATCACTGTTCACCCCATCAGCAAACACAAAACAGAAAAGAAGATAAACCCTGAAGTGGGGCAAACAAACCTGGTTCGAGGAGGGGAGAGAGGAAGAAAAGCAGGGCAGGAGCTGAGACTTAGCCCCAGCCCATCGTCTAAGGGTCAGAATTCAGCATTTTCCAGGCTGGTCTGTACTGACCCCCTTCCCTTCAAGGCTCCCGCCACACCCTGCAATCCTGGTGATCCCAGCTGATCCCAGCACTCACTGAGGCTGTGATTCTCTTACTGATGAGAGACCCAAGTAGCCCGTGTTTCTGAGTCCCTGAAATCTGTGTGTCGGCCTGATTGTGCCAACCCTCAACCCTGGACAGACACTCCATCTGGCCGTGCAGGGCTCTCCTCGTGCCCAGCCGGGCCTTTGAAGGGAGAGGACTCTGAGCAGCTCTGAATCCCAACCAGGCCCTCTGTTGGAGCCAGAGCCTCTGAGAGTTACAGCCTAAGGACTCAGAAGAAAGGGGGCGAGTGGGCAATGGGGCTGCCAGCTCAGAGTGCCCCAGTTGTAACTGGGCTGAGTGACCTCTGGGCTATCATGGGCCTGTTTGGAATTTTTTGAGCTGAGGGCGGAGTGGAGATCCAGTGGCCCCACATCCTGGTGTGTAGGTATTCTGGATTATTTCAGATGGGGGAACCTTATAAAAAGTTCCTGCTCTAGGATCTCCTGAGACAAACATTGCTGCTGTCCAACCATTTTTTGCAGGTTCCTATTCTTGAGAAAAAAAAACATACAGAGGGCCCATGCTGGAATCCTACATCCAGGCTAAGCTGAAAGGTCAGAAGGCTTAGCGATTCGGAGGTCCAGGTTGTGAGGCCTTGGGCAAGTCACCTCACTTCTCTGGGGCTCAGATCCCTCATCTGTTCAAACAAACAGACACCTGAGGTGCTTGGATGGCAGGGATTTTAAGGTCCTGTCCATCTCATACCCAAAGAACAGCCCAAACCAGGCCATGCCTCTGCGGAAGCTTTGCTGGAAAAGTTGTTTGGCTTCATCTCTGCGTTCCTTCCCCGAGTAAAGCCAGTCCCTTCCAAAGACGATACAGCTGGTCGGGCATCAGGAGAGTATGTTTTCCTTCGACAGGTTAGCAGCTTGCTGGGGATTCAGGCTGATGTCAGGGAGGGAGGAAGGTGGTGAATGTGACCTCCTGTCTTTGTGCCCTGTGGCGTGGGGGCAGCTACAGAGCTGTGGGAGCCTTCATCCCCAAACCCCCAACATGCCCACACTCCATGGCCCCGAAGCCACAGTCTGATACCACACACCTTTATCTAGAGTATCTAAATTGTCCTTCATCAGCTCTCCAACTTGACAGGACATTCCTTGAGGGCAGGAATTGTATCTTGACTTTCTTCTGTGTCTCACCTATAGGAGAGCCCAGCACAACACAAGGTATGTGGCCGGAAATCTGTCCATATCCACTGAACAGCTTCACTGAAGTGCCCCTGGAAAGACCGATGCTGCATTTGGCATGGGGCGTGTGTCCAGGTCCTCCATACTTGCTGGCTGATAACCAGATACTGTGCTTCAGTCCGTGGCTCAGTCAAGCTGTTCTGTCCTTGCTGTGACCCCAAGAGCTATCGTGTCACCTAGAGAGCAAGTGATGGCGTAAGGTTGGAGAAGGGAATGAACACCCCCTGGGATATGCAGGTCGTGTAGAGGACATTGCTGTCATCCCTTTCTCCCCAAAGCAGTCTGGCCCGGGAAAGCGTGGCTGGGTGGCCCCGTGCAAACATAAATCAGGTACCCCTCACCATGTATGCTTCATAGTATCTACGCAAATGGCAAGCACAGTGATCTACAGGCTACAAACCCAAACCTATACAATAGTCACAAATGTCACCAGCTCTGTGTGTGTGTGTGTGTGGGGGGGTCCTCACTCTCTTCTAGTCTTAACTACACTCAGAATATAAGTCTCCCTTGCCTGCCTGCACATGGAAAGCTCTCCTTTATATCCAGCCACACTTTTGATTGCTGGAGCTCCTCCTGTCCTGTGCTCTCTGAAAATGTTGCTCTCTTCAGAACCCCCAAGGCTCCCTCTCCTTCTCCGTGTTTTGCTTGTTTGTTTGCTTGCTTGCTTGCTTACTGTGTGTGGAGGTGGCGAGGAAAAGTGGCGTTCTGGCTTGTCCCATCACAGTGTCATCACCTGTACCAATGGAGATGACAGAGCGATGCAACCAGCTAACCATGACACACATGGCCTTGCTAAAGAGCTTGATAACATTTTAATTAGCCCTTGTTCTGTGTGGCAGGCAGAACCAAGAAAACAATCATCTTCTCACAGCATGACAATTCAATAGAGGAAGGCAGGTGTGAGCTGCAGGGAGCTAGGATCGTGGGGGGGGGGCTATTGCGGGGTCCCCTCAGAATTATCTAGATAATTTCCTCAATTCTCTACTTTGTTCTTATGGACCTGACATTTTCCAGAGGCAATCTCACGCTAGGCAGAAGAGGAAACCAAGGCATATGAAGCACCAGGTAAGGTGGCCAGAAGGACACACCAGATTTCAAATCCAGAGGCACAAACTCCAGCCCCCAGCGTCAAGACAGGCCTGGGGGGACTGTCTGGAGGTGTGCCCACATAGTTCGCAGATCTCACCTTGAAACACCAACATCCCCCAGGGTTCCTGCTCCCCCTTTTCCACCCCAGATGAAGGGGGAACAATAGTAGGGGACGAAGTGTCCACCCTGAGATACCTTGGTGGTTTTGACTTTGTGTCCACGGCTGCAGCTCCATCCCGACAGGTCTGGGAGCACTTTGCACTCCTCCCCAGGCAGGCAGGGCTCCATCTGACACCACCACTTCTGCAGGACGATGGAGGCTGTGAGAGCAGGAGGCAGTGAGGGCAGCGCTAAACTCTCCGTGAGGACCGAGTACCATGTACAGTCAAGGGAGGCGGGGTCTGTGCAGATGAAGTGCACATTTCGACACACCCCTGGCTTTCAGTCTTGCATTTCTCTGTCTTTCCTCTACTCAGGCTGAGGCCTAGGCACACAACCATATCAACCTCAGTCCTACTGACCCTTACATTTCACCAAAGACAGCTTGCGGGTGAGGCAGGGGATGTTGTCTCTAAGGCAACTCTGGAGTTGAGTCACCATGTCATTAGCAGAATCTCAACATCCCCCGTTGGTGTATGTGAGCAAGTGTGCAAGCCTTTTGGAGGGGTCCACACACCAGGAGTGCACAAGCAGGCAGGGGTGTGAGCACCAGCGGGCACATGTGGGTGAGAGAAAATGAGCATGGGTGGGGCCGTGGGCAAAGGGGGTGGAGGTGAAGGAATGCATGGATGAGCGACACACATGTCCATATGGGGGGGAAGGTAAAGGCTGGCCTGAGAATGAGAGGGGGGCATGTGGAAGAGGCCTGAGAAGGAGAGGTACGTGAAGAAGGCAGTATCTCCAGGAGTTACTGTGAGGCGGAAAGCCTGATGGGAGGTGAGAGCCTCCGTGAGGGAAACACGTCTGTGTGTGAGAGACAGTAGGTGTGGACAGGAGGGAGGGTGTTCGCATCCCAGGAGCTTTCCTTGGCTATGAAATAATGGAGATGGTCACGTTTGCCTTCCTTCCCCCAGGGGTTGCCCCATCATTTGAGACTCGACATAAAAGCCCTGAGATGGGTATGAAATTGTAACCCTAGCAGATGGTGAGGCCGAGACAGACCATCTTATCTCTCTGATCAGGCCCTCCCTGCCAGGTCCCGGCCTCTCACTCACCATCCACGCAGGAGGGCTTGGCCCGTGTGGTGCCGGCCACCTGGCCAGAAAAGCAAGAGCATTTGACAGTCTGGAATTGCTCCTCGATGTGGTTCCGGTTACAGCAGCGATGAGAAGCTGTCACCTCGCAGGTGCCCTGCTTCACGGGGACTGACAGGGCCAGGACAAGATCAGGTGTCCAGCTCAGGCCCGTAACCCTGTTCCCCTCCCACCCACCCTGGCTATCCTAGAGCCCCACCTCCCAGTTTAGGGAAGGAAGACACAGATGTGAATGAGATCTTCCTGCTGCTTCAGTGCTCCTGCCCTTCCTTCTTCCCCAGTAAGGCCACTCTCATCACCCTGTGGCACCTGTTCTTGGGAGAAGGTGGAGTCCCACACCAAACACCCTCCCCGTCTTCCTCAGGGTGAGGGCAAGGGCCTCAGGGCTTATAATGCGTGGGGAGGATCATCCGCTTATACAGGTTTAATCACCCCAGAAGGAAAACCACAGAATTAGGCCAGGAGCCTAGACTTAAGCCCCCACACAAGGGCATCTCTCCCTGCATGACACCTTCCAGCTTGAAAGGGAAGGTGAGCAATGGGTCTGCCCACGCCTTCCTCGGGCTGGAACAGCAGAGTGGGGCAGTTTACTAGGTGAAGAACAGAGGAGGAGCCAGAGCCCCTAAAATCCTCCTCAGAGTTCTGTCTGTTGTGGAATGGAGTGGGGTGGTGTCCAGCTCTCCAAGTAGCTTGGGAAACCCCCTCCCCAGGCCCTGCCACCTCCCCCAAACCTGTGAGAGATGGAGGCTGCAAGGAAGCCGAGGCCAGGAGGGTCCAGGCCAGGCAAAGTGCCAGTAGCCAGCTGCCAGTGCTCCAGTTCCATGAGGCCCTCTCACACATCCTGCAGAGAGAAGGGCACACCTTGCTTGCTTGACTCCAGGCAGGGGCCCTCCCACCTTCAGCGCCCAGTCCCAGAGCCTCTGTGCCATGAGCGCTGGGAGGCACAGACGCGGGAAGGGTGTACAACTTGTCCCTAGGCAGCTCTCAGCCTGGCACAAACTCATTGTAGAAAGTAGTGAGTGCTTTCCGACCAGCAAAGGGAGCAGGAAGGGAGACTGTCCTGCTGGGAAAAACACAGAAAGCTTTTTGGAGATGACATTTAGGAGGGGCCTAGAAGGATGAACTAGACATGGTCCCACGGAGGGCTGTAACATGGGAGGAACAATGTGACATTGGAGCACTTGACCCAGGCACTTAGCAAACATGATCTTGACTCCTTCACTTTTGTCCTACAAAGTAGGATTATTTATACCTATTTTACAGATGAGCAAACTGATACTCAAAAAAGCCTGGAGACCACCTCAACAACCATCAAACAAGGACTGGCTAAATACAGTGGGAAGCATCTGTACAAATGCAGTCCCGTCCAGGCAGCCATAAAAAAAGAATGAGGAAACACTTTATGTACCGAGGCGTGCAATGGTCTCTAACCATTATCCAACATTAAGGGGGAAAAAAGCAAAGTGCAGGATGGTGTATAAAAAAAAATGTGTAAAAGGGAGTGATTATATGTGTTGCTCAAATATGATAAGCTAGTTCTGGAAAATGTAAATAAATAAAATAAAATAAAAAACAACCCTAATAACATTGGTTGCCACCAAGAAGGGGAACTGGTTGCCTAGGAGATAAGGAAAGGTAGAGGGAGACTTTTTTTGGTCCCTATCGCTCTTTTTACATTTTGAGTTTTGAACCATGAGAATGTTCTAGCAATTCAATTTAAACAAATTTAAATTTAAAAAGGAAGAAATGGAACTGAGGCTAATAGAAGTCAAATGACTTGCCCAAGGCCGGGCAGCACGTGGGTGGCAGAGCCCAAAGCCCAGAAGCCTGCCCTATTCCTGCAGCACCACCTTGTTTCTGCTCTCTTCCCCTTTCCTTCTCCTTCTCCATCCTCCGTGGTTTTGGGCCTTCCCAGTTTATCCCAGAAGATGGACAAGAAACGGAGGCAATCCCAGGAAAGCAGAGGCACAGAGTATCTGGGAGCTGCTGGGCATAGGACTGCCCGCCTCTGCTGCACTGCTGGGCCCATGGGGCATTGCTGGGCTCCCTCAGGGGCAAGGAACACCAGAGGTCAAACCAAATGCCAGGACCTGGCTGCCCCCTTGGAGAGGGTGCTGCATCTCTGTTCACCCTCTCTACTACCCCTCTTCCACTGTCTCCTCACTCACCTTTTTGGGGATCTTTCGGCATTTGTCTATTCATCCACCAGGCTGACTCACTCTACCTAGACAAGTAGGAAAGACTCTTGGGGGGTTGTAAGGGACACAGGGAGCCCACAGTCCTGCAGTGGGTGAAGGGGAGGCCTGAGTGAAGACAAGGAAGGTGGGCTGGGCACTGAAGCAGAGCCCAATTCTGAAACTGTTCCCCAAGGAGCCAGCGCAGGGGACAGTCTCTTCTCTGCCCTGGGACTTTGCAGGGGTCCTTGGGAACATGTAGGGTGGTGAACCTGAGAAGAGCAGCTGAGGGAGTTTCCTCTGTCCCAGGAGGGAAGCAGGGATGATGGCAGGAGGTGTCTAAGAACCAATGCTGTCACCTCTACGGCCTGGGGGCGGAGCTGAAGGTCAGAGTTCCCAAGCCAAATCTGACAGGATTCTGCTCAAAGGGGCACCCAGGAAAGACCCCTGAGGTCCCGAATCATCTTTGCTTCCACCTTCTACCCCCACCCCAACTGGCACCTGCTTCTTGGACTTGTGTGGAGATAGTTCAACTCTGCCACCCTCACCCCCATTCCCACTCCAGGGGGTTAGAATGGGGGCCCTCCAGGTCTCTGAGCCTCAGAAACCCCGGCGCCAACAGCTTCTCCATTTCTCCCTAAGACTTCTCCCTCAGTCTCCAAAGGGAGGTGGACTGAGGCAGGTAGGATGGCGGGGCCTAGGAAGGAGGGGGAACCCTGCGTCTTAGCCACTGGAGTGAGAACCCGGAGAGGACCATGGGCGCAGAGGAAGTGGTGCTTGTATGGGCTGGGTATGCTCCATGGGCACAGCGCTTCCCACCCTTCTAGATGGACCTCTTTTCTGAGTTGGTATCTCCTTTCCCTGTCTCCATCAGGAAGCTTCAGTTTGATCATTACAAATGCAGCTTTGTCTTCTCCCAGGCAGTTCCCATCCCATTTCTCTATGAGCCGCCATCCCCTCCAGCCCAACTCTCCCGTCGCTCCTATGAAGCCCGAAACCCAAAAGACCCGGGGTGGGGGCATTTGGGGTGGGCTCTCTGGCATTCTATTCCCTCCGTCAGAGAGAGCTGGAGAAAGAAGTTTCTGGGATTTGTTCTCCCGCTTCCATACTCCCGCCTCAGTTCCCCAGCCTGTTTCTTCCCCAGCCCCAATCCAGGCTGTGGTTGAGGGCGTTAGTAGCCAGCACACCAGCATGGGAGCTGAGGATGTGAACCACGAGAACCTTTAACCTTCCCCTACCTTCTCCCGCTTCCCCTTCCCTGCCCCCGCCCCCAGTCCCGCGCCCACTCAGTCCTCCAAATTCTGAGCCCCACCCTGGGACCTACCTGCCCCACGGCGGTGCCACCGGTAAACCCGCCGGCCTGAAGTCCTCCTCGCCCCTGAGCTGGGACCAAGGCTCCCGGCGGGAGCGGCCAGTTGGCGTGCTGTCTAGTCCGGAGCCTTGTGCCCCTCACCAAGTTGCTGCGTCCCGGGGGCGTCGGGACTCGGGCCAAGCTGGCATCCCAGTCGTGCCGGGTCCCACTATGGGCATCGGGGGGCTTCGGGCCCGCCCGGCCAGCTCGGCAGAGCTCAACCGGGGTCCCTCCGAGGCTCCCGCCCAGAGGCAGACGGAGGAACTTGCAGCTGCCGCCGCCGCCCCTGTCTTCCAGCCCCGCAGGGACGCCGCTGCCTCCTCCCGGACAGCGCGGGGCGCCGCGCACAGCGCTCGGCCGGGCGGGCGGCGGGCGCAGCCGGGCGTAGCGGCCCCTGGCGGCCGAGGTAGTACGACCGCTGAGAGGTTGCGTAAGGGTGAACATCTCCCCCGTGCACGCTGGGTCAGGTCACTCAGAAAGGTCCCTCAAAACTCTCCAGGTCTTGGGGCTTCCGGGAGGTGGCGGGGACTGAGTCCGAGGAGTGATTGCCCTGACCTTCAAGGGTTTTGAGCCTTGAGGATTCTAGAACTGCACTAATACGGCAACCACTAACCATATGTGGTTATTTCCATTTAAATAAAAATTAAATACAATTTAAAAATTGAGTTTCTCATTCGCACTTACAAGTGCTCAATAGCCACATGTAGCTAGGACTATTGTATTGGGAGGAAAAAATAAAGAATATTGAACAAAATTCTCTTTCACAACGTTCTTCTTAATGATATGTTAGCCCTCTGCTGTTAAAATGTTAAAATCCAGGCGGGAATAGCAAATGATCTGTACCCTAGGGTGGTGTCCTCAGGGGTGAGAAGGACTACGGCAGGACAGGCAGGAGGGCTACAATATGCTGGTCCCTATGGATGAGGGGTGTGAACCCCAACTTGGGAACCAAACCCTGAGACCCAGTTTGCTCATCATAAAAATTGCAATATAATTACAATTCTATAATTCTTTACAGGGTAAGTTTTGGGATGTGAAAGGATTAGACAAATGAGAGGAGGTGGTCTGTGAATTTGTCTCTGAACAAGAGGGACAACCCTCTTGGCTTAAGAGGGCTTTGGGGTTGGGGTAATGGGGCGGGGAGGTGCAAGGGGAAGAAGCCTAACTCTGAGGCCTGAGCCATGGCATGTGGCCCACGGGGATAGAGTTCTGTCTTGAGGATGTCCAATCCCCCTCCCCAGCTGAGGCCTCACACCCCTGGTAGGGCCAGCCTCTGAGCAGTCTCAGATCACAGCAGAGGAGAATAGCTCACAAGTCGGCTTTTTCCCACCTCATGCCCCTTTTTTCCTTCTCACTCCACTGCCTCAGGAAATAGTAGAGGTGATGGCCTTCTTGCCAGGTTCTGGGGTGCAGTCTGAGGATGAAAGAGAGGTGATGATGCCAAGAACAGGAGGTGAGAGATTCAGGGAGTAGAGGGTTTGGGTATGATGGGAGGACTGTTCTGGAGCCCAAAAGAGCTGTTGACATCCCTGCTGACCATGTGGTGCCGGTGCTAGGGGGACTCTAGGCCCTGGCTCTGTGGCCCACTTGTAGCCACACCATGCTGGGTGCTGTGAAGAGCAGGAATTAGGGAGCAGGGTGACCCAGAGCAGTGGTAAGCAAACTGTCCCAGAAACACTAAATAATAAAAATAGCCAGGATGTTATATTTTTTCTTCAGTCGTTGGCTTGCTGCTGCTGTTTATGCCATTAATCTGAGCGTCCTGTACCACTCTGTGTGCCTTCGGACTGATTTTTTTTTTTTCCTTTTGACTTCTTTTTCTCTGACTCTCTCTGCCCAGAGTGCAGGCACAATTATAGCAAGTCTAAAAACCTGAAAGATTACTATGAGATTTTTATTTGGAAGCTACCAGGAAAGCCACCCCTTCTGGGGGCACATTTTAGACCAGGAACAGAGTTATAAACAGGAAGCACCCTGCCCACAAAGTCCAGAGGTGGAGTCCCAACCATGAACTGGGTGCCAGTAGTCCCTGAGGGCTACCCCCGACTTGCGTTAGGGCCATAAGGGCCTTGTCCCCATTTGGACCATGGGTGGGGTAGTAGGTGTCTCTGGAGGCCTAGTGATCAATGACCGGATACCACTCTCCCCCTTTCACGCAGGAAGCTTAGACTGGCCTTTGTCTCCCCCTGGCGGCAGCCACATAATTTATTCGGCATCCCCAGACTGCTCTCAGCCTCTGCCTTTAAGGAGGCGGGAGGGTGGGAGAGGAGGAACCCCCACTCTTCTCTCTACCATTCACCTCCCTCTTAACCCTTCCTCCCTCATCTCGACAAATCATCTTGGTTCTTAAGACAGAATCAGGTTTGGACGTCTGGAAACTGACACGGGTACGAATCTCTCATTGGCAGTGTGACCTCTTGGGGCAAATCATGTAAAACGACAGGAGCGTCGTCGGTTAACCCCCCCCACACACACACACACACACCTTGAAGGGTTGGTGTGCGGTATAAATGGCCTAATATACAATAAGTACTTTGTAGAGTGCCTACTAAGTAGTAAGTCCTCAATGAGTGGTAGTTATTGTTATATTTACTAACTAGTCCTGCTGTGGTCAGTCAGAGGAGGTCTAAATATTGGGGAAATTGGGTCCTTGGAGAGAAAGTGGAGTCTGCGTGGCAACCGCTGTCCCAGATCGAGGTGGTGTTCACGGAGCCCAGGAACTTACCCCCAATTCAGGATATTCGGCTCCAGCCTGTGTGGTCACCACCTCCACACCACATCCAGCACGAGCTCGTTCGCCCTCGCTCTCACTCCAGCAGCCCCAGCCAGAGGTGTTGTCACACCAGGTGCTTCACACCCAGCAGTCGCCTGGTTTCGCTTTTAGGTCATCAGCCCCATCACCCTCCGGGCAGCCTGGCCACAACGAACCGAGGGCGATGAGACGCCACCCTCGCGTCACAATGGGGAGGTTCTAGGTGCTAACTAATCTAGGGCATGGCTGAAATAGGGTTTCCCTTCTCCCCACCCCACAACTGCGGACCCTTCTTCCCCAAAGAAACAGAGGCGGGGCGAAGCCGGAACCTGGCGCCGAGAGGATGCAAGCCAGTGGGGCGGTTCCCGGGTGGCCCAGAACAAGAGGGAGTTTCGCCGAGGATCCGCCCTGCCCACCGGGAGCCAATGGCCCAGGAGAGCGGGAGGGAGCGAGCACCGCCCCCCCGCGAGACCTAGGGGGCGGCTCCTTCCCTGGGGCGGAGCCACGGCCGAGGGCGGGGCAGGGAGGCAGCATGCTGAGCCGGGTGCGCTCGGCCGTGGCGCACCTGGTGAGCTCAGGGGGCGCCCCGCCCCCGGGCCCCAAGTCTCCGGACCTGACCAACGCGACCTCGGCGCTGCCCACCGTCCCTCCAGAGGTGCCCAGGAGCCCTTCCGCGAGGACTGGGAGCGGGAGCGCGGTGCCCCCGAAGACAGCAGAGGCTCGGGCGAGCTTTTCCCGACCGACCTTTCTGCAGCTGAGCCCCGGGGGACTGCGACGCGCTGACGACCACGCTGGCCGGGCTGTGCAAAGTCCCCCAGACACCGGCCGCCGCCTGCCCTGGAGCACGGGCTACGCCGAGTGAGCGCCCCTGGGGGCACCCTAACCAGGATGGGAACCCCACTCCCCACTCCCCTCCTCACCTCAGCATTCGGGGCGCTAGGGTGCGTCCCTCTCGCTGCGCTGGGTACCGGCAGCTCCCGTTCCCCAGAACCCTTGTTATCCTCTGGGTTGCGGGCCGCACCTCTTCCCAGCCCTTTCTCCAGTCGGTTTAGCATTCCTCAGGACCTTCCAGCTTGTTAACTACCCTCACCCGCGTCGCCTCAGGACCTTGTTCCCCCCAAGAGCCCGGAGGGCGGAGGGCCCCGCGAAGGATGAGTTGGCCGGTTCTCAGGCGCAGCCCGGCAGTTTAATGGCTAAGGGAGGAAGGGTTTCAAGGAGACGGGATCTCTTTTAATAGAGGAGATGGCGGCTAGGAAGACTCGCTCCCGGACTTCCCAAACCCAGCGCCCCACTTCCCTGTTCCTCTTATGGTTCCCCTCCCCCTCCACACCCAGAAATAGCCCGCGACACCTGGCAGCCGCGGGCTTCCCTTGGGGTGGGGGCGGGGGCCGCCGGGGAGAGCGGGAGGGTCCGCTTTGGACACCCCTCGGCGGGTGGACTTGCGCTGGCCAGGCAAGGAAGTGGACCTCCGGCGGGAGCAGCCGGCTTGCTCCCAGGCGATGTGTATTTTTAATGCCTGTGCTGTGAAAGCGGAGCACTGGGGGAGATGGGGGCGCTGAGGGTGGTGGCTGATGGACCCGTGGCCCCACCATTAGCTCTTTAGCTTCCTATTGGGGAAGAGTTGGTGGTTACTGGCTCCTGCGCAGTCCAGGTGGGCTTCCACCCCTACCTTATTTCAATTCCTCTTTGTGGATCTGGGGTGGAGCACTTCCTCATTGCCGAAGAAGCAGAAACTTTCACTAGATGGTTTTAGCATAAGGGTGGGTGTGATCATGAAGGTGGAGTGCTGCGCACCAGGCACTAGAAGACTCGATTCGGTTTCAGGATGGCATGTAGAGTCTTGGCAAGCAGGGAAGTAAAACCTTCTGCCCTCCCCCAAGCGGCCCCTCCCCCTGGCAGCATCATTAGGGGTGCCCCTTTTGCCAGGGGTGGAGGACCTGAGACAGGCAGTTGCTGCTGCAGTCTTTTCTATGAGGTGGTGGGGCCTGACACCCAGACAGTACTCCCTGTGCCTTGCCCGGCCTCCCTTCTCCTCCCTCTGGCCTGGATCCCAGGTGGCTGTGACCTTTCTCAGCTTGGCCAGCAGGCCAGAGTGTGTATGTCTCAGGTGGGGGTTATTCCAGGATCTGGTCTGGTGGCCAACCTGATGTGGTCACTCTGGCTTGGCAGGGTCATCAACGCTGGCAAGAGCCGGCACAATGAAGACCAGGCTTGCTGTGAAGTGGTGTATGTGGAAGGTCGGAGGAGCGTTTCAGGGGTCCCTAGGGAGCCTAGCCGAAGCCAGGTAAGCTCCCAATCCCCTTCCTAGCCTCCAGAAACAGGGTAATGCCTCTCCCCAGGGATTCTAGGCATCTGGTTTTAAATCCGAGGTGTGGAACACCTGCCTTCTAACTCACTAGCTTTCTACCCTCTGTCACAGAACCTTTATCTGGCAATCATCAGTTACATTCTACCACGTCAGTATGCATGTTTAGTTTTTCACTTAAAATGTAGATGATTTAATTAATTACCAATGCTTATTTTTGCACCTTTTAACTCTGGGTTTGGCTTTTTTGATGTTTTATTTTCTGACACAAAGTAGGCACTTGGTGAACGAGTGACTAAATCTAATTTGCTTTTAGTACCGAGCTCTGACCTCCTCTCTGGCGTATGTATGGACGCCCAGAGCCTTGCTCTTCTCTCTGCAGCGCGTGGACACACACACAGTCACTCACCTCTGACTTTTCTTCCACCAGGGACTGTGCTTCTACTACTGGGGACTGTTCGATGGGCATGCAGGGGGTGGAGCTGCTGAAATGGCCTCCCGGCTCCTACATTTCCACATTCGGGAGCAGCTAAAGGACCTAGTAGAGATACTCCAGGACCCCTCGCCACCTCCCCTCTGTCTCCCATCTACCCCGGGGGCCCCAGGTTCCTCAGATCCCTCTCACTTGGTTGGTCCTCAATCCTGCTGGTCTTCGCAGAAGGAAGTGACCCATGAGAGCCTGGTAGTGGGGGCCATTGAGAATGCCTTCCATCTCATGGTGAGTGGGTGTCCAGGGCCAAGGGTCTGCTAAGCAGATACTATGGTCAATTCTGTGTGGAATTCAGGTGGCCTGAGGTGGGGGCCCTGAAAGCCTGAGCAGAGCTTGGCTCAGAGGGGAGGGAGGGCGGGGAGTTACACCCATATCTTCCCTCCTCTCCTCCAGTGTGGCTTGGCTGGGCCAGTTTACTTCTGCAAATAGAGGGGGGTGGCTATATGCCTGGAACTTCTTCATCCATCCCCTTTGACCTTTCCTCATGTGGCAGGATGAGCAGATGGCCCGGGAGCGGCGTGGCCACCACGTGGAGGGGGGCTGCTGTGCACTGGTTGTGGTCTACCTGCTAGGCAAGGTCTACGTGGCCAATGCAGGTGACAGCAGGTATGCGGGGGGTGGGGGGTGAAAATGGTTATAGGGGGTCACACTCTGGGATGGGGTAACAAAAGAGAGTGAGGTGGCGGGTGTTAACAATCAAAGAATAGAAGGGGTCAGAAAGAATCACAAACATAAGGAAGGGCCTGAAATAGCCATGAGGGGAGGGGGTCTGGGTGCGGAATCCTAAGGGCCATTATGGGGAAGGCCTGGCCTTTTTGGAATTCTCCACAAGGGGTCTGAGGAGAGACAATCCTAAATCTTTTCTTTCTCTGGGCAGAGCTATCATTGTCCGGAATGGTGAAATCATTCCAATGTCTCGGGAATTCACCCCGGAGACTGAGCGCCAGCGTCTTCAGCAGCTAGTAAGTAGGAACCCCTGTTCTTTGTTGAGTCTTGTGCCTGTCTGTACCCTACGTCCAGGGACTCCCCCACCCCCACCACACAGATGGACAGCTCCTTACTGGAAGGAGTACAGGGCTGAGCTGATGGAGGCAGCAGCAGGAAGGAGTGTGGGCTGCTCAGGTGCTCCTGCCAGGACCCCACCTGAGGAAGGAAGTGGAATCATTGGCAGGGAGGCGACAGCAAAGGCCCGATAGGGCTTTAGAGCTTTAAGCTCTGGCTCTGGAGCTAGACTGCCTGGAATTGTATCCTGGTTTGAGTGCTTGGCTAATTGTGTGACTTTGGACAATTCCCTTAACTTGCGTCAGTATTTCCTGCCTTAAGGGTTGTTGTGAGTAGTAAATGAGTTAATGTATGCTAATATTAGACAGCGTGCCACACCTTGTGAACTCCATTTAAAGCTCTGCTATAATTAAGATCATTTATACACCAGGGTGTGCTGTAAGCCTAATGACCCCTGGCCCTCTGTTCTGTCTGGCCATTCCCAATCCCAGGGCTTCCTGAAACCAGAGCTGCTGGGTGGTGAATTCACCCACCTCGAGTTTCCTCGAAGAGTTCAGCCCAAGGAGCTGGGTCAGAGGATGCTGTATCGGGACCAGAACATGACCGGCTGGTAACACTTCCCTCAGAGCTGGGCCCAGTCCCATGGCAACGCAACCAGTCCCTCACCAGCAGCAAGGCGGAAGCTGGAGGATGGACCAGGCTGGGAGTTTGGGGGATGTGGCCCTTCTTAGGGGTTTGTGTGAGGGGCGTGGCTCCTAGGGGAGAGGGGCCTTGATGCCTGGGTGATGCCTCCTCTGCTCCCCCCTCCCCAGGGCCTACAAAAAGATCGAGCTGGAGGATCTCAGGTTTCCTCTGGTCTGTGGGGAGGGCAAAAAGGTAAACTCCACAATAGAGGTGGGAGAGGGCAGGAGGACCCATCACAGGTTGTCTAGGGAGGTGGAGGTTCTACCTGAGGGCAGGGCCGGGGTGGGAGGGTCCACTATTTCAGAGAGTCTGGGGCAGGGCTATAGCAGCACCCCTGCCTCATTTCCTTTAGGCTCGAGTGATGGCCACCATTGGGGTGACCCGGGGCTTAGGAGACCACAACCTCAAGGTCTGCAGTTCCACCCTGCCCATCAAGCCCTTCCTCTCCTGCTTCCCTGAGGTGAGCCACCTCCTCAACCATACCTTCCCTCTTCTGGGGGTCTTAGCCTGGCTTTGACCGCAGGTGTCTTTATCCCCAAGCTCCCTCTCCACTCTTCTCACCAGGTGCGAGTGTATGACCTGACGCAGTATGAGCACTGCCCGGATGACGTGCTAGTCCTGGGAACAGATGGGCTGTGGGATGTCACCAGTGACTCTGAGGTAGCCGCCACTGTGGACAGGGTGCTGTCGGGCTATGAGCCTAATGACCCCAGCAGGTAGGGGGTGTATGACAGTGAGGGGATGACAATGGGGAAGGACGGAGCAAAGGGAAGCAAGAGGGCCTGTGTATGTATCTTCCCTTGTACGCGTTGGTACATGAATGCGCTCCTGTGCTCCTGGCAGGTACACAGCTCTGGCCCAAGCTCTGGTTCTGGGGGCCCGGGGCACCCCCCGGGACCGTGGCTGGCGTCTCCCCAACAACAAGCTGGGTTCCGGGGATGACATCTCGGTCTTCATCATCCCCCTGGGCGGGCCAGGTAGTTACTCCTAAGAGGCTCAGCCCCGACCCTCCCACCGCCATCCCAGCCTCTCCATGCTTATGCCTCACCCAGCCCAAATTCTGACGTTGTTTTCCTGGCCTTCTTTAGTGGCAGTTTAACTGAAGAAGGGGTAGCCATTAGATCCAAAATTCTAGCCATTGACAAATAAACAAGATGGATAAAAAATGTGTGTCTTTATTTACTTGGACTAGAAACCGAAAGGTTACAAAACGCTTGTTGGGGTGGACGAAAGTACACCAGAACAGTCCTAAAATTGTAGTGTTCCCAGGTTCTTTCTCCCATCCTCTGAACCTCCCACCCCGCACAGTCACATTCATCTATCTACTGGTGTCGTCCAAGTCGGTACTTCCAGCCCAGATCTCTCCTGAGCTTTAGGCCCACATATCCCAGTCATCTCCTGAACATCTATCTCCTAGACATCCAGCAGACACTTTAACTGAACACACCTCAAAGTGAATTCATCGTTTCCTCTGTAAACATGTATCTCTGGTTCATCATCTCTGGGCACCAGCTCAGCTGCTCAAGGTAGCAACCTTGGAGTTGGTCACCTTTGGCTTCCATCTGTTCCTCGTCAAGCTAATCAATCACTAAGTATGTCTGATTATATAAAAATGTATTTCACATTTCTCCACTTATCTCCACCCCTACTGTCACTACCTTAGTACCTCAGCTCTTCACTGCATTAGCCTCCTAACTCGGTCTCCAGGCCACTCCCCTATTTCCCCCAATATACTGGGGACATAACAGAGTGACCTTTCCGCAGTGAATCTTACTTATTCCCCTGAGAGAACATTTCAGTGACTCCTTATTGCACCTAGACCAAAACCAACACTCAGCTCGAGTGTGGCATAGAAGGTTCTTCATGATCTGGCCACTGCGTCTTCCTGCTGCCCTCTAAGGCTGGGTACTCCACAGCCCAGGCCTGCCCCCACTATAACGACTGCCTCCTGTATTCGGACTGTATTAGGGTTTGGTATGGAGTAGCAGTTAAGAGCAGGGGTTCTAGAGTCCTGCTATTTGCGTTCTGGTGCCAGACCCAACACTAACTCTGTTAATCCCTCTGAGCCTCAAGTTGCTTCTCAGTAAAATGGAGGTAACAGTACCTACCTCATAAGGTTGTTGTAAGGACTGATGTAGTTCACATATGTAGAGCCAGGCCCATATAATAAGGGTTCAGTAACAGTTAGCTATCTTCAAGTAGTTTGTATTCTGAATTTGGACTGTAAGTTCTTTGAAGGCAGAAATTGATCTGAACTGAGCACATAGCTCTCAATTCACACTCGATAGATGCTGATTGAGCAGGTTAAGAGGCCTGGGGTCCAAAGTGCTCTGGACCTGAGTTTCTTCATTATTCAAATGTGTGAGTTGTACTTTAGATCTTTAAAGTCTATAGACTTCCAACATTCATTCATTAAACAAATATTTGTTGAAAACCACACATTGTGCTGGCCAGCAGGAAGGGACAGGTTGGAGGAGCATAGGGGGCAGTGAGAGAGCACCAGCTTGGGTGCCACACAGGCCCCTACATCTGAATTCTTGTTCTGTCACATACATATTGCAAAAATTGGGGCAAACCACTTCTCTGAGACTCTGGTTCTCACAGGCAAAAGGGGATTGGTATACTTACCCCCCAAAGATCTGTGATGAGTAGAAAAAGGGCGGAGCTGTGTAGTGTACTGAGCGCAAGCTAATAAAATGTGAGTAGCTGTCCTCAAACATCTGCTTCCTCAGCCACTACCTTACAAGGAAGGAAATACACGTGTAGGTAAATACCTAATGTGTCAAGTCAGACTGGGTTCAGTGTCTTTATTCCCAGCTGGGAATCTGGATTTCCGGGAGTGCCCTTTGAGGGGTAAGTAGGAATTGAACTCATGGAAATTCCAGGCCGGGGGAAGGAAGGGAATTATGAAGTGGGACGGTGGCCCGGGTCGCAACGATTCCGAAAAGTTCTCAAGGCTGGGAGATGATGCTGGGCTGTACTGACACCGCAATGATTTTAAGGGCCGAAGGTGGGCCTCCTTCGCAGCCCCCAACTTGGGCGCCCTGGAGGCCGCCCTTTACAACCAGGGCCGCCTCCCGGGAGGTCCCAGGTAAAGTAGGGACAGGTGGCTCGGTGGCCACGGGAGGGCAGCAGCGGCCCTTTCTTGACCCCACCCCGAGCTCCTCTCAACTTTCCCAACGCAGGTCCGCCCCTAGGGGCTGGGAGGCGGGGAAAAGGGGAGCCCTCAGGGATCCTGCCTCACCCCTCCGCCTACTCCTCCCCAATCCAGGCTTCTCCGACCCCGGGGGCCAGCGCCCCAAAATTCCCAGGCAGCGGTGGGGGTGACCATTGGTGGCCCCGGGCCCGGGCTATGGGCGGGCAGAGCCCAGGCCCGCCCCTTCCCTGCCGGGCCCGCCCCTCCCCGCCCCAGCGCTAGAGGAGGGCGGGGCGGGGCCCCCCTGGTCAGTCTCAGCCTCCTGCACCCGCAGCGCAGCTGAAGGCGGCCGAGCGGAAGGTACCCAGGGCCGGGGCTGGGGCTGGCGGGGAGTCCCGGGAGCTCATCCCCGGGAGCGTACTCTGTCCCTCTCCGCTTGGCCGGAACTCGGGGCGCCGACTGGCTAAGGGGCTTTGGCCAGAGCGCCGGCCGCCTTCCCTCCTCTAGGGACGGGCATTTGGGCTGTGCGGGGGTCCGGCCGGTTCGGCTCCTCCCTGGGCTGCAGCTGGGCCCCAGGAACTTCCCCTCCGGGTCTCTCGCCTCCTGGTGTCCAAGCCAGAGTCCTTTCCTCTCTGGAACCTGCCCCGCTGGGCGAGGGGTCAACTTGGGTCTCCGCGAGGGAGACCCGGCCCAGACCCGGCAGCTCCCAGGCCGGGCGGCCAGAGGCGGACCTGGGATGGAGTGTGGTTCCAGGCCAAGGCCGGTGGAGGTGGGATTTCCCCTAGGCCGGGCCGTAAGGATGGCTGGCAAAGGGGCGGGGTGTGACCAGTGCTGGCTGCCACTGCTCGGCGGGGTCTGGACACCGCCCTAGACGGTTCCTGGAGCCCGCCTTGGAGGTAGGGGAGACTAGGCAGGATCCAGCGTGTGTGTGTGTGTGTGTGTGTGTGTGTGTGTGTGTGTGTGTGAGTGAGGATCTCCTGCCTTCCAGCCCTCTCCCTCACCTCCGTAACCTGCTAAAGATTATCCAGGAGGTTTGGTCTGGGAGACCCGAGGCTGAATCCTGCCCTCACTTCCCGTGTTAAAGTTGAGAAGGGGGTATTTGATTCTTTCTCTACACCTGGTCAGCAGGAACAGCTGGCCCCTGGGTCATCTGGAAATCTAGAGAATGACTGAGGACTGGGTGGTGGATGGCATTTTTGTCTCAGGGAAGACCCCAGGAGTTCCAGGCTCCATTCCAGGCATTGTGTGGGGTTTGGTTGCCCCTCCTGGGGTCAGTGGGGCAGTTCCTCTGGGGCTGCTTCTCTCAGGGAGCTGTTGTCCTGGCCACCTTGCCCTTGGGCCTGTGTGCTGGCTGGGCCAGCTGCTCTTCTGGTCCAACCAGAGCTTGAAGGGAAAGTCTTCTAATTGAGCTGGGGGCTCCAGGTCACTTAATGCACACTCTTGACCCTCTGGTGCCACCTAAACTGCCTTGCTGGGGGAGGACAGTGGCATATTCATGTGTAAGCAACTGGCTATTGACCCCCATCAACACTGCCCATCCCAGATTGGGGCTATCAGCCTGTTTTCACACAGCTGGACCAAGGGAACTAGTGGGAGGAGTCGGTCACCTGGGTAGAACTTCCAGGGAACCCCTTTTTGGAAGGATGGTTTCCATTTTTGGAGGGGATCTGCTAGCATGGTGATGTTTTCTTGCCCATCTTTTAGGGTGGGGAGAGTGTGACCGTGTACTCTCAACTATAAATTCCCTCTGACTCATATCCACTTCCCCTCATCCCAGTGTGTGTGTGTGTGTGTGTGAAGGAGGGAGGCCACTCAGGACCCCACTGTTGAAGAGAACTAGATGGGCTATAATATTCGCTCCCTAAAAGGCAGACCAAGACAGGGGTGTGAGGTGGTGATGATATGTGGGGAGTAAAGGAGTTCAACCTAGTTTGACAGGATGTGGGACGGAGAGAACTAGCCAGCTTTGGGGCAAAGATCAGGTTACCATCTGCTTCTGCCTTAACTACTCCCTTCCTGGTTGGTGCTGGAACTGACCCTCATTTGCCTTTTTTTGGGGGGGGGGGCTCCTCCCAACAGCCTCGACTTCATGTCAGCCCCCGAGCCCGCCCTGTCTCCCTCCAGGCGTGCAGCCTGGGAACTCCAGCCGGCTAGAGGTCAGCTCCTCTCCCCAGGGGAGGAAGTGAGGCTCAGCTCTGCAGAGACTCTGGGAAGGTGTGATGAACTGTGTAGATGCTTATTAGTATGGAGGACATGGACACTGGGAAGCTGACTCCTTGCCCTGAGTCACTGGGAGGGGTGCACAGGGCCTTGGGTGAGCTGGACAGAGGGAAGGGGCTGTTCCAGGAGTGGGTAGAGGTGACTCCCTGGTGGATTATTCTCAGTTGCTCTGCTGTGGTGGATGTGTGGCTCCCTACAGTGTGGCCATTGTCCCCTGCTTGGGGGTGAGTGACCCATCGTTGCTGCCAGGCCCAAGAGGAAGGGGGGGAGGAAGGCAGGCTGCCCAAATGTAGGCTGTGGGCACTTTGGGGACTGAGCCTCCATTGTATGACTTGGGCCTTTTGGGAACCGGGATGGGTTAGGCCAGGGAAGCCGCCTGGCTGCTGCCACTTCTGTCTTGATTTCCCTGGCTCTGCTCTTCCCACCTATGGGATGATATGTAGAAAAGGCAACGGACTTGAGTCACACAACCCTGCTTTGAGTGCCGTCTCTGCCACGACTCTACTGAATGTGTCTCAGCGTCTTTTCTAGTTTTTCAGAATAGGAAGCTCTCCCTCTCCCTTCCAGGCATCTGGGGGCCGAGGGAGATGATTTTTGTCAAAATGCCCAGCAGTTTCCCTTACCCACCTACCACCTGGCAGCTGGTTCTGCTGGCCTGTGGTCTTGGAGAGGGACTCATTTGTGACCAGGCAGGCATGACTTGTGCTGAGTGAGGGACAGTGTGATCTAGATGGACCTTAGCGGCTATTAAATTTTAAAAGTATTATATCAAAAGCCTGGTAACAAATGAAGTCTGACTTGAAACCCTGATGTGTATAGCAGATAAAAGCAGACTCTTCTGGACGTGTCCAGGGTCCCCCATGTTGTCTGGCTCCCAAGTGAGTGGTTCTTCCACCCCCCCATCTCTGTATTCTAACCCATTGGAGACCTGTCCCTGACCCTGAGATAAGGAATTTCAGGCTCAGCTGCCTGAATAATTGGTTCTTCGCAAGAACATGTCTGAGCAAACCCCTTTCCCTCCCTCTACTGGATGTCTGTTTCCTGGGAGGTCTTGGGGTCCCCAGAGAAGTGTTTTTGGATTTATTGACTTTTCTCAAAATCTCCATTGCCTCTTCCCTGCCAGCCCTAGCCATGGCTGCAATCCGAAAGAAGCTGGTGATTGTGGGGGATGGGGCCTGTGGGAAGACCTGCCTCCTCATCGTCTTCAGCAAGGACCAGTTCCTCGAGGTCTACGTCCCCACCGTCTTTGAGAACTACATTGCAGACATTGAGGTGGACGGCAAGCAGGTGAAGGCAGAGCCCCTTCCCATCTCAACTGGAACCCCTGACACTATGGACCCAGGATGTCCTTGCTCCACTGTCCCTGCTGGAACCAGGGGACATTAGATGACAGTGTAGTCTTAGAAATCTAGATACACCTGGTTCTCTGCTCAGTGGCTCTGTAATCTGGGCTCAGTCTCCCTTCACCTCTGAGCTTAAGCTCTCCCAACTACAGAATGGCGATAATGGGAAGGCCTCTTTCAAAAGGTTTTTGAGGATGAAATAAAACAGTGGTGCTCACAGCGGTCACTCAAACTGCACCAAGATCATGCACTGGTATCTCAGGATTTAAAAAAACTCACTTATGTTGGGTGACAGTGATTAACACTATTCCTGGCACATAGCAAGTGCTCAGTAGATATTCAGTGATCCTCAAGGACCAGTGTCTTCAGAGAACCTCTCGGTGGCAGGGTGGGGAGCATATGTGACTGGGGCCTTCAGGCTACTCACTGGCCCTATGTGTCAGGTAGAGCTGGCCCTGTGGGACACGGCAGGGCAGGAAGACTATGATCGCCTGCGGCCTCTCTCCTACCCGGACACTGATGTCATCCTCATGTGCTTCTCCATCGACAGCCCCGACAGCCTGGGTGAGGTGGGGGTGAGGATGCTGGAGGGAGAGGACTGAGAACCCTTTGGCATCAACCAATCCAAGATAGCTCTGGCCTTGGCTCATTTTAGCTGTGTGCAGAGGCTCAGGCCATGGAGAGGGCTGCAGGGGGCAGTCAGCCTCCTTCACCGTGGGAACTCTGGCCCTTGGGAGGGTGTATTGGGAGGGGGAGGGGGAGGGGCTGAGCTGTGAAAGAAACTGCAATGCTGAATAGCTTCTAAGAATTTAAGGGGGGAGACCAGGGACCCCTGGGGAGTTTTGTAGCTTAAGGGGAAGCACCGTCTCAACACTTGTTGGGACATTATCTGTTCAGAAAACATTCCTGAGAAGTGGACCCCAGAGGTGAAGCATTTCTGCCCCAACGTGCCCATCATCCTCGTGGGAAATAAGAAAGACCTGAGGCACGACGAGCATACCAGGCGAGAGCTGGCCAAGATGAAGCAGGTGGGTGGAGCTGCCGGGCAGGGAAAGCGGGCCTTCTTTCCAGGGCAGTGCCCTTAGAGGTGATGGTGTCCACCTCCTATCTCCCTCACATCCACATCCTGCTGGGGGAGAACCATAGGGCCCTTAGTGTCTAATATCTGATATAGCTGTTGGGAGAATGAAGTGACTTGTCCATGGTCACTTCGCATTTGAACTTGTTCGTCTGAGTTTGGGACGATTAGAATGAACAAGAAAATCCGTCCTCAGAGATGTTTTGCTTATCATACTGTCATTTGCAGGTCATACTGGAGGCGTAAGCTGATGGGGATGTGGGAGGTGGGCATTATAAGTGGCTGGAAGAAAGGTCCAGAATGAGGGAGCTGGCTTATCTGGGGCCCTGGTAAGTGGTTCTCTAGCTGGAGGAATGGAGTGTTAAGAGGAAGCTGCCAGGATAAGGAATACGGACTATGCTGTGAAGATAATTGTGGCAAGGTTTTAAACGGGACAAATGCAATCAGATCTGCATGTCACAAAAGTTTTTCTGGTAGCCGTAGAGCATGGAATGGGAGAATGGAGGCAGGAATGTCAGTTAAGAGGAGCTACTCATTCAGGAAAGAGTATACCATGGGGTATTATTGATGGCGAGAATTTTGAATGTAAACCTGAGCCTTGGGTCCCTGGCCCCAGTGCTGCCCAGGGTGGCTGGGGCATGGGTGCTTTGTGAGGTCAGGGCTGGAGATATTTCTTCGTTACTATACTTATGGGTGTGGCTGTGAGAGAAGCACCTTGCCACCAGCTTCCTTTGACCTCTCATCTTCCATCTTCCCAGGAGCCCGTCCGATCTGAGGAAGGCCGGGACATGGCGAACCGGATCAATGCCTTTGGGTACCTCGAGTGCTCAGCCAAGACCAAGGAGGGGGTGCGGGAGGTATTTGAGATGGCCACTCGGGCTGGCCTCCAGGTCCGCAAGAATAAGCACCGGAGGGCCTGCCCCATTCTTTAAGACCAATGGTTCCCTTCCTTCTCCATCTCTTTCCTTCACTGGGGTGCAGAGCCTCTGGCCCATCCTCTTAGGACTCCAAGTTGAAGACTCCCTTTTTCAGTTCCCTCCAGCCCAGGACTGCATTGAGTTTCCCTAGCACTCTGGGCACTTAGGACTATCCCCGGCCCGCCCAGAGCCATTCTCCCGCTGCCGTCTGGGTCCAGGGACAGGGCTCTTGACCCCTTTGGCCTTCCCCAGAGGATGTCACACACCAGCACTTTATGCACTTCTGACACACAGGAGCATGTCTTGGGTAGGACACTTGGTGTAACCCAGAGTCCTACGCCCCTGGTATTTCTGCTTTGGGCAGGGGCCTTGTCTCTGGCAATACTTGGGGGGCATGAATAAAGGCCACAGGCTTCAACATGCATGTGGCAGCTTCCTGTCTTTCCTGGTCCGTCTTGGCTGTGAGCTTGGGGTCCCATCTCTCCTCACTGCCAAGTTGCTTGCCAGCCTGGCCCCCCCTTTGTAAAGGCAGGACTCTGGGCAGGCAGGGTGGAGTCTTAGAGCAAAGGATGATGTCATGCCTGGCTCTGGGCCTCAGAGGCGGGTGAGGGGAATGGTCTGGAACAGGGGCTAAACTTAGAAGCCTGTGGGTGGCTTGTCTGCCACCTCCCACAAGGCTTCCGCCTCTGCATGTGGGGGCTGGGTTCCTCTGTAGCTGTGGGGCTATGGCCCTGGGCAAGGGTCCACCTCCCCTGTGGGGTCAGCTTGGGAGCGCCTGGAAGCTGGGACCAGGCTGAGAAGACATGGAGGCTTTGGCATAGGACAAGATTTTGTTTTGAGGTTTTTTTCCGCCTCTTTTCCCAGTTAGCAGCTTGTTACATCATTCTCCTCTGCAGGGGCAGAGGTGGAATGGCTTGGGTTGTAAACTCCTTCCCCCAGCCTTCCTGTGCCTTGGAGGGGCCGCTCCGCCGGGTTCCGGTTCATGGCGGGCGGGCGGTTAAGGTTTGGCAGCTGCGGTCCTTTCAGAGCTCGTTTCTCCACTCAGGCTCCACTTGTAGGGGCAGGCTGCCTTCACCCTCCCGCTCCCGGGGGAGGTAGTCCTTACTTTGGGGTCCTAGAAAGAAAGGAGGGGGAGCTCTGTCTTCCTTACCTCCTCCCCCAGCACTGTCCTCCACTGGGCCCACCTTGGCCTGGCCATACCTGAGGTAGAGGAGCTGAGCTTGCTCATATCCTGGAGTAAGTTCTGTCCCTGCTGCGGGTCCAGCTTGGCAGGGAAGGGGCACCCGGTATACCCCCCGTTTTCTTTACAGAACTCCAGGAATCTGGGGGCGGGGGACAGAGACATTCACACACATAGAACTGTGCAGGCCTGGCTGTGGAGCACCAACGGAGGCTGGGGACCAGGCCTCAGCGCCCCCCGCAACTGGCCCCTCCTTTGGGCAAGTTGCATAACCTGTAGGCGTCAGGTGACTGAAATGGGGGTACCGTGAAGATGGACAGGTCTGAGGATGAACTGAGGCACAAGGAAGCACTTGATCAAGACCCACCCACCCTGGGCTGGGGACTGTGGCCTCCAAGAGGGATTGGATTACAGGGTGCCAATGCTCACGCCTTCCAGTCGGGGTCATGGCCCAGGAGGAGTGGGTTGCCCACCACGATGAGCAAAGCCTTGGCCCGGGTCACAGCCACATTGAACCTCTGCAAGGAAGAAGTGGTGGCATCATGGGAGGGAAGGGCCCTTAGGAAGGAGGGGTTACTGCTCCCCACCAGCCCTCACACCTTGGGGTTCTTCAGGAAACCGAGGTTGAAGTCCAGATCCAGCTGCACAAAGCTCTGGCTACTCCGCACAGTGGAGATGAGGATGACACTGCGTTCCTGGCCTTGGAACTCTTCCACGGAGCCCACCTGGCGGGAGGGGGGCAGGGCCTGAGACCAGGGCTCAGAGCGGAACCAGAGGGACAAGCCCTGCCGCAGGGAGCTTGAGCTCCAAGGCAGGTGTGGTGAAGTCACTGGGCAATTGTCACAGTGAGTGAGTGTTTCGCCAGAGGCAGGAAAGAGGATAGGAGGGTGCTCTGGAAGCTGAAACCTCAAGGGGTGAATCCAGTTAAAGGGGCAGGGGCTGGAGTGTGTTCTAAGCAAAGAAAACTCAGTAACTCAGAGTGGTGTTTTTCCACTTTCCTGAAGACAATCACGAAGTACTTGTTAAAAATATACACCCTAGGCCGGCCGAGTGGCTCAATTGGTTAAGAGCTAGCTCGAGTTTGAGCTCTGAGCAACAGCGGTTCGACACCTGGCCTGAGCTGAGCTGCCGCTGAGCTGCCAACAGGTGGCAGGATGGCTCAGCTAAAAATAAATAAATAAATAAATAAATAAATAAATAAATAAATAAAATAGGGCCGGCCGAGTGGCACATTGGTTAAGAGCTGGCTTGGGATGCCAGAGGGCCCAGGTTCAGATCCCACACATGAGGGCCAGTGACACTGCCCTCTGCAGCTAAGATGGTGAACGGCAGCTCGACCTGGGGCTGGGCTGCCGTGGGTTGCCGGTGACAGCGTAGGCTGCAGTCTCCTGCTGCAGTGGGTTGCCATGGGCTACCGTGTGTAGCCAGCAGCCAGTGTGAGCGGCCGCCAAGAGGCTGGCAACTGATCTGCCTCGCCCGGGAAGAGCACAATGATGGTGCCACCTTGGACCAATCAAGCAACATCTTCCACAACTGGACTGAAGAACAAAACAACAGCAACTTGTCTGTTCCCCTTTCCCTGATTCCCCAGCGCTGTTCCCATCCCCCAATTCCTCAATAAAATCTTAAAAAAAAAAAAGTGTGAGCTCTGAGCAACAGGGTCGCCGGTTTGATTTCCACATGGGCCAGTAAGCTGCGCCGAAGCTGAGCTGCTGCTGAGCTGCCAACAGATGGCAGGATGGCTCAGCTGGTGAGAGCACATGCTCCTAACAAGGTTTCTGGTTCGACTCCCGTATGGGATGGTGGCTACGCCCACCTGCAACTAAGATTGAACATGGCACCCTGAGCTGAGCGGCCATGACCTGCAGATGGGCAGCTGGATGGTGACTGGACTTAGAGCTGAGCTAGCTGCGCCCTCCACAAGTAAGACTGAAGGACAACAACTTGACTGTTCCCCTCCCCCAATAAAAATCTTTAAAAAAANGGGAGCAATGATGGTGCCAACTTGGGCCAGTGAAGCAACATCCTCCACAACTAGATTGAAGAACAAAGCGACAGCAACTTGTCTGTTCCCGTTTCCCCAATTCCCCAGCACTGTTCCCATGCCCCCAATTCCCCAATAAAAAAAAAAAATCTTTAAAAAAAAAAAAAAAGGGGGCTCTGGCTCTTAGCTCTGTGTTCCTCCTACCGGCGCACACTGTTGTGTAGGGGCATCCCCAGCCTGGACTGGGTGGGAGGGCGGAGTTACCGGTCAGGTCTCTCTCCTTCCTCTATCCGGTTGGTCACTACACGGTTTGCAGTGATCTGGGTCCGCTTGTAGGGCACCGTGGGCTTCAGTTGTGCTGCCAGGGGACTGTGGGCAACAGCAGCCAAGAAGCGAGCAATGTAGAAAGTGTCAGCTCCATCCTTGCTGGACTCCCCGGGTCCCAGCAGCTCCCAGAGAACTGTGGCTGGGAAGTAGCCTACAAAGCTGGTCTGACAGTGGACACTGAGCTCATAGCACTCACCTGTGGGAGGAGAACTGAGTGAGTGGGGGTTGGCGGGGAGAGTGGTCCCTCACCAGTATCCCCGCCCTGGACACTCCCCCAGAGAGGCCCATTCCAAGGCAGGGGCACACAGGACAGCTGCAGCCCGGTTCCCGAAGCACCAGCCCTTCCTCCAGCAAGCCCTTGTCTACCAGAAGCTCTTTCCTTTGGAAACCCACTCACCGGGGCCCAGTAGACAGGGCAGCTCCTGGTCTCCATCAAAGAAGGCAAATTGGGGGGTCCGGCAGAACGGCAAGAGGTGGATGAGGGTGACGGGCTGGGTTCCTCCATTCCGAAGCCTCAGGGTCAGCACCTCCTTGTTGTTCAGATCCAGGTGGATAAGGAGCTGCCCATCCCGGGCTTCATGAGGACCCTGGACTTCCACGTCCACCCCATGTTTCCCGTGCAGATACTCAGCCCTGGGGAGAATGGCAGTCAAGGCGCAGTTGGGGTGGGAGGGGCCTGGCCTAGGGTTCGCCCTCTGTACAAAGTTTTAGGCTGGGGAGGCTGGCCAGTGCCATCTGTGCTTAGGCAACCCACCCCTCCCCCAGAACAATCAGCTCC